TTTAATTTCTAGTTCATACATTTTAAGTATGATTTAAGTGCATATTATTCTGTTGTTGTTGCGGCTGTATGTTGCTCTGTTGGGTCTCTAATGATTTGAATACAAAATAAGAGCTGAGGGAAATGAGTAAAATGTTTCAAGGGCTGAACAGGAGCCAGCATTTCTCTTTGCAGCAAACAAAAGAAAAGTCAGGGGAAATGTCCTCCCACATCTCATCTATTGTTTTCCGTTGTCTGCTTGTTCAGTGGAGTGCATCTGTTTGGGATACTCTGTTTTTCCCAGACCTAGTCTTAAAAAAAACATGAAAAAAAAAATTAAGACCTAACTTAGATCTCTGACCGTGGCCGGTGCTGAACAAATATGATTACACTTCATTTGGCTGCAACAGCGTGCACTCTACGCCAGGCTGAATTAGCTTTCTGCTCAGTGTAATTCCATATATCACCATTTAACAGACAGCCAGACTACTCTGCGCTTCACATCTGGTCCCTTGTTTAAAGACAAATCTTGCATTATTTATTCGCACAGGCTTTTATGAAGGTCACTCTGGAGCGCACGCTGTGTTGAATGGGTAATTGAATATTTTTATTACGAATAAAATATGATTCGATTTTTGGGATTATTGGATTATTTCTTGTGTTGCTGTTTGCTGTGAAATGTGTCTAAGCAAAACGTAGAAAATTTGCAGCTGGGGTTGGTTGATTCTGTGTTTGATTTCACCTCACTATTTATATCAAGAAAAGTGTGAGTTATGTACTTACTGAGAGAGCTCGGTAATATCTTTTCATTGAACGAGCATAGAAATTCTACTCTCCATTTCCTGACCTCTGGCATCAACAATGCATTTTCATTCATATAACTTCTGCTCACTGGATACCGACAACCATGCTACTTCAAACTCACTTAAATTCAACTTTCTGATAGTCAGTTTGAACAGTTTGACAAAACTGTCTTGTCTACAAAACTCAATGCACTCAATGCTCATCAATGGATTTGCTCTTCAGTGTTTGAACCACACTGTACTGAACTAAACTAAACTTCAATTCTGAAAACCGGACTCACACATTGTTTTTAATTTAGAATTGATCGGGTCTGCGATTCGGGTGAGCAAAATGTTTTATTATATTTGTAACACACGTGAGGCTGTGTGTGTGTGCTCTCTCCTCTCTCTCCGGCTGCTCCTTCTCTTTTTAAGAAGGGTGTCTCTCCGGCTCAGTCACTAGAATGAACAGGTGTTATTTATTATTTCTGATTGGCATGCTGATTAGCCGCCGGGCTCTGAGCATGCTCTCCCCCCTCATTGGGTGTTCGATCCTGCTTACCACTCCACAAACATGTATGCAAATTAATGCAATAGTATATGTACACAAAAAATTGTATATGCTATAGTAGCCTATTCTTTACAAAAAGTCAACATATGAGCCTTTCACCACACACACTGCACGCACGTACCGCGAATGAGAGAGGAAATTACAGCACACTAGCTCTAAGGTAAAACCAGTTGCTCAAGACATCATCAATACATCATCTTTTAAAATGTTATTCCTTAATTAAGTTTCGTGAAAGTTAAGACAGATAGGCGTGCGCTTTGTCTACAACGCAAATTATATTCCTGTACCTCACTGGAAAACCAAAATGTTCCCACACAGGCGACTTAAATGTGTCTGGGGGATCTGCAATCTTAATATATGCGAAACAGTTATCCTGCGTACAGTAGTAACAAGTGTAAAAGAGTGTGATCGCTCACTCAAGTCACATGACATGATATGCACTTGAAAAATATTAACTTTAGAATATAATATTTAAAACAAAAGCTCATCATTACCAATACAAATTAATCAAATGTGATAAAATAAAGATGTGTTTAAATTGGTTCAATTAGTTAGAGACAAGTGACGTCAACCTCAACAATGGGCAGCAGGGAGCGTGAGAGCAACTATATCCTATATATCCTGAATGAACTGATTAGATAGTTAGCTTAACAAACACTTGTAAAGGTACAGCACAGGCATTAGATATATCTTCCAACCAACATGTTGTTGTTGAAGTACAATATGTACTTCAATATAAACGTGTATATATACAGTTGAAGTTAGAATTTTTAGCCATTTGAATTATTATCCCCCCCCCCCCATATAATTTTGCCCCCAACTTCTGTTTAACGGGAAAGATTTTTTTTTGTGATTTCTTTTATCTTTGTCACGATGACAAGACATCAAATTTTACTAGATATTTTTCAAGATACTAGTATTTAGCTTAAAGTGACATTTAAAGGCTTAACTAGGTTAATTAGGTTAACTACACGGAACTCAAATCCTGGTTGTCTTAAATTTTTAAGCTGAATCAAATGAACCTTATGAGTCTATTGAGCTTATATTATTTTTACCGACTTAAAACAGCTTGCGTAACATATAAAATTAAGCTAGAACATGATTAACTTAGTTTAACTACTGTAGTTATAATGACCAGAGATGAGAAGTAACCAAGTACAAATAATTTGATACTGTACTTAGATAGATTTTTTTTGTATCAGTACTTTGACAACTTTTTACTTTTACTCCTTAAATTTATAAACCAGGCTAGTTACTTTTGTATTCATGTTTTTGGTGGCGCAATCTTTATTATTTCTTGTCATTGGACAAATCCATTGCATGTCTTTTTGATTCAGTAAACCAATTTTTTATCACGCATCTTTTTTAACCCATGTTGATACCGCAACTATGGTGGCTAGTTTGTAAAGCTTACCGCAAGAATAGAAATAGAAAGGCAAGGTGGATGAGACAGAGGGAGTCGGCGATGTAAACATGACTGAAGCAGCCCTGTTTACACTGGGTAATAAGCTGCATTTGAGTTGATTGGACCAATGGTAAATTAGACACATTCCTGTTTAAATTTCTGTCCACATCAGACCATGGTTTACAATACAGTCTTCTCTGATCTTTTAATCTAATGCCACAAAAATTTGCTTTGTTCATCTACATTTGTACAGTTAAATCTTTTATGCGTGCTTTATGCATTGAAATTTATTTATTTTATTTTATCTTCCTATTTCCTAACACAGAATTTATACTGTTTTACTGTTGTCTTCATTTAAATAAGTTTACCTAATATTTTAACATCAAAACTATTCACACTCAAAAAAACAAATATCTACAATACAATGAAAAAAACACAGAAAACATAGGATATTATGATTTTAGTTTTGAACATACGGAAGGATATTTAGCCAAATGCCCAAAATTGGAAAAGTACAGTAAAAAGTAAAGTCCCTTTATTTATCCAGGATTGTCGCAGCGGAATAAACCGCCAACTTTGCCAGCACATGTTTTACACAGCGGATGCTCTTCCAGCTGCAACCTATCTCTGGGAAACATCCATACACACTCATTCACACTCATACACTATGGACAATTTAGCCTACCCAATTTATCTATACTGCATGCCTTTGGACTGTGGGGGAAACAGGAGCACATGGAGGAAACCCACGCAAACACGGGGAGAACATGCAAACTCCACACAGAAATGCCAACTGACCCAGCCAAGGCTTGAACCAAAGACCTTTTGCTGTGAGGCGACAGCACTACATACTGTGCCAACGCTTTGCCCTTATTGAACTTGTATTATGTTAAACTGACTTAAAACAGCTTGCGTAACTTATAAAATGAAGTTAGAACATTTAACTTTAATAATTAAGTTTAATAAGTTAATAAGTTATTTAATTAATAAGTTAAAACTTAATTAAGTTTAATAAATTATAATGACCTAAAAACATATGCCGTCAGGACTAATTGATCATATTTTTTACAGTGTAGGCAAGTTAGCTTAATTTGGCAAATCATTGAATAACAGTGGTTTTTGTTTTGTTGACAATCTGAAAAATATATTGCTTAAGGGGGCTAATACTATTGACCTTAAAATGGAAAAAAAAGAAAAAGAAAAAAAAAGAGAATTTTATCTAGCCGAAATAACAAATGAGACTCTCTCTAGTAAAAAGTATGATAAGAAACACTGTGAAAAATTCCTTGCTCTATTAAACATCATTTGGAAAATATTTTTAAAAAATCACAGGAGCACTTGGCTATGCTTATTATAAATTACAAAAAGAAAAACAATCAATTAAACAAACATCTGGTATGATTTCTCACTGATAACCACCAAAAAAAAGTTTAGTTTTCCTCTAATTGTGTAATTAATGTTGGGCTCACTCACAAACGCACAGATCTCAGGAATTATAAGATGCCAGTATTTATTTGAACAAACTTACACACTTACAACAGAAACTTGAACCATCAACATGCAGGCAGGACAAGGGGTTGTGACATTACAATAAAAGACCATGAATAAACTGAACTTAGGGATATACAGTAAATACACAAGACATGATTCAACTGAATACATAAAGTTGTGTGACACAGGTGGAACTTATAAACATTAACAAAGGCGGGAAAACGGAACAAAGGAGTCACATGACATAAACCGGAGCACATGGAACAAACACAAGGGACATCACATGACGCAACTACATAAATGCAACACATAGACAGACCAGACTTGTGTCTATTAATGAGCACGTCGCAATTTTTCTGACATGATCAAATACCCATTGGGAAAGTTCTTAATGTAGTAAGGGAGATCTGCTTCTATGTTATCTGTCACTGCGCTGCTTATGAGTGAGAGGCAGCAGGAGAAGCTACACCCATCAGAGCAACAGAGAGCAATCTTTCTGGCTCTGATACACGTGTGATTGGGGGCGGGGAGAACCAGCTTATTTGCATTAAAAGCACAGGTAACAAAACGGCTACAATGTCTTAACAGCGCAATTTACCAATATACAAAAAGGTATAATAAATAATCTGATGGGTATTTTGAGCTGAAACTTTACAGACAGGTTCTGGAGAAACAAAAGACTTTTATTAAATCTTAAAAAGGGGTTAGATAGGTGCCCTTAAACGGGAATCATAAGGAGAAATATGATTTGCTTTTGTTTTTGATTCCAACAGATCAAGACTCGAGTACAGACATTCTGTGCCACATGATGCCATTCTACAGCTATGATGTTCCCCATACGTGTGGTCCTGACCCCAAGATTTGCTGCCAGTTTGATTTTAAAAGGCTGCCAGGAGGAAGAATTAGCTGTCCATGGAGAATTCCTCCTCAGGCCATCACAGACAACAACGTACAGGAGAGGTACAACTATACACAGCAGTCAAACACAGTAGGAGCTACTCTATTTACTCATAGAAACCTTAAAAAAAACAGGTATTGTGTCAAACTAGAAATCTGTTCTGATGAGTAACCCTTTCTTTAATCCCTTTTTCATTGTTTGTGGATTAGTGTTCCCTTAAATCTGATCAGATTTAGATTCCCCTCCACTTAGTTTAGTCTCTCCATGTGTAGAGCTCAGACGCTGCTGGACCAGTACAGGAAGAAATCCAAGCTTTTCCGCACCAAGGTGCTGTTGGCACCACTCGGAGATGATTTCCGTTACACTGAAGCTGTCGAATGGGACCAACAGTTTGAAAACTACCAGAAACTCTTTGACTACATGAATTCTCACCCTGAGCTCCATGTCAAGGTCATTCTTCATTGTTTGTCACACGCTGAACTACAGGGCTGTGCAGTATGACAATATATATCGTATAGACAAAAAAAGTCTGTCGATTCACATTATACTTTAACTATTGTTTGTTACATAGTGTCACAAAATACATTGTGTACGGTAATGCATTTTTAAAAAAATTACTTATATGAGCGCAATATTGATTGCAGATATCGGGATGCAAACAAAAACATAAAAATCTGCATCATGAGAAAGATTTTACATTTTATTTAGTAATATAATTTTTTTATGTTGGACCTGTAATCAGTAGTTTTTAAAAAGTGTTTCATGTTTTATCACAATGTAAAATCCAATAATTTCAGGTAACTCAAACCATTTGCGGAAACCGATTGCAACAAACCATTCAAGTTCAAAAACTAATCTTAACGAGTACTTTGAACTTAATCTATTTGAGTAAAAGAAGCTATTTAAGCACAGTAAAATCTAATAAATGAAGAGAACTCAAACCAACTGAATACTGTAAAACCCAATAAGTTAAGGCAACTCAAACTGTTGGAGGAAACCAATTGCTACAAACCATTTGAGTTAAACTAATCTATACGAGTACTGTGAACTTACTCCATTTAAGTTGAAGTAATGAGGTATTTAATTAACTCATTACCTTTAAGAGTTCAAAACTCTTTTTAAATAAGTAGAATTAACTTTTAGTAAATTTTGAGTTGACTACACTTATGGCATTTAATAAAGTGGACTGTTGGGTTTTACAGTGTAATAATCCTTTTATATTTCTACATTTTTAATTAAACATTTGCCCCGAAGTTCTAAATAATATAAAAAATATGATTACATATGAATGAGTAAATGTCTGAGTATATATTTAAGATGTCAAAAAGGAATGTGGTCAATATGTATACACTATTTGCTTAATTGGTACTTTACTTTGATTATACATCATTATCGGTGTATGAGATGACATTGTGATTTGTGATTTTAGCATTATCGCCCAGCCCTAATCTTTTTTTCAGACATTTACTATTGGTTTTTTAATTTATACCTAAACCTTTTCTCTTTGCAGGCCCAGTTTGGAACCATTTCAGATTATTTCCAGGCCTTGCGTAAAAGCACTGGCATGGATCCAGTTGGCATGAATGTTGGTCATTTGGCTTTGCCTGTTGTAAGTGGAGATTTTTTCACTTATGCGGATCGAGATGACCACTACTGGAGTGGATACTTCACCTCTCGGCCCTTTTATAAACGCATGGACAGAATGCTGGAATCATACCTCAGGTACGGTTTAACAAATCTAAATGCTTTGCATAAATCTTTTTTTTTCTTTTTGTTTTGTTTTACTTGTAATGTTAGCAAGACCAGGCTAAATAAACATAATTTGATGATACTTTCATGTTTTGCTCTACAATGTAAAATGTACTGACTCGTAACCCAAATTTTCTCATCTAATTAGTTTTGTTTATTGAATAAACTTATTTCACAGCTGTCTGGGATACTCGATTTTAATCTGTCAGTTGCAACATCCAAGATATGTTAATCCCAGATATCAACCGCTAATTAACACAGTCTCATCCGGGACCTTTGAATTAACTTGATCTACAGTAAATACGTTTACATTCATATACTTACTACGTTTACATCCATATGCATGCTATCCACATTCATGAATCAAAAAAATAATAATCTGCATTCTAATTTGCTCAAATAACAAAAGAAAAACATTTTTACAACTTTCAAAAAGAAAAAAAAATTGAGTAAAACCAACTGGGAGAAAAATGTCAACTTAACTGTATCGCTCATAGGCACACAAACCCATAAACAAACACATATTTTTGTGTGTGTTTTTGATGCAAGGATAATATAATACAAGGTTAAGCTCTATAAAAGGACATACATTTAAAAAATTCTTAAGATTATCTAAAATCTAAAAAATGTCTAAATATTTAATAATAATAATAATATATATATATATATATATATATATATATATATATATATATATATATATATATATATATATATATATATATATATATATATATATATATATATATATATATATAAATATATATAGGTCTTGAAAAAAGGGTCCAGACTAGGATTAGTGTTGTCAAGTTTAAACCTTGGTACCAATTGATACTAATTTACTAATACTAATTTTAAAATTGCCAACATTTGAGTGCTGTTGAGCAGGTTCTTAAACCCTTATTGGCTTATTGGACAGTGTGTTTTCGTACAAAATAGATAAAACTGTGATTGTCTCTGAAGGTCATCACTTCACCATTCTTCACCACTAAGGAGTTTGAAAGCTAAGTCTATCAGCCGATCTATATTTGAGCAGATATATTAGAGATCCACTGATAGTTTAGCTGATAGACATGGCATTCAAATGCTCCAGTTTACATGATTTGGGTTCACGCTTAATAAACAGACCTTCAGAGTCAATCACAGTCTTATCTTTTGAGCATGTAAACACAATGTTCAATCAGCAGTGTTTAAAGGCAGGTTTATACTTCTGCGTCCAGTGTTTGTGTTGCTCTGCAGTAACACTTCTGAAACGCTAGCTGGCAGCGAGGTTTTAATGTTCCTCTGTGTCGAGTATTTTTTTGGGTGCTTTGTTTATTCTGAACGCTACCCTAATGTACAAGTAGCTAAAACTCGCTCATTTAGAGGCAGGAGCTGGCGGACGTGCAACCACGTTAACCATAAGGTGAACACAAGACAAAAGTTTTTATCTGGAGCTCCTTTACGAGACTTGACCCTTCTTCACCTTAAAAAAATATAAGGTTCTATCTGACATTTTTGTCAAAATTGAGTTATTCACATATTCCTAGTAAATGTCAACTTATTTACTTTATGGGATGTTTTTATAAGTTGTTTACATTTTAAGACTTTTTATTTAGAAAACAAATGTTACACACATATTGTTTGCTATGGAATGCAAAAACTACGAAGTTCAATATCTCAAAATCATTCAGAACTCAGATAGAACCTTTTAATTCCAAGTTGACGACTTGTAAACAATTGTTCTATTTGGCTCGCGGCTCTCAGCACCACCCACACTCGTCACCGATACCAAGCCGACAACACAACAAAGCTTGCGCGTCAGCCATGGCGAAAGCCATGCGGCCGTGCGAATGCTGTGCTGGACTATTCATGTTTGTTTATTAATATAGAGCTTTTTACAACGTAGATTGTGTCAAAGTAGCTTAACATAGAAGTTCTAGTAAAGTCCATATACACACTATACTCATGCAGAAGTTGACGCAGAAACGTAAATCAGCCTTAAGGACCTGCTCAACTGCACTCAAATAATAGCTGGAAATGGGCACTTTTGAAGGTTCAGTAATAACTGGTATAGAAGATAATACTTTTGATAACCCGTTGATCAAATATAAACAATGAATTTTTGTAGCTTGGTTTCAAAGAGATCTGCGTTTGGACTAACAAGCAAGTTTTGATTTTTGTAACTTTGGATGAATGTTTTTAGTACAATGAACTTTTATGTGTTAAAAGATAAAGGAAATTAGATTTCTCTAATTATGAAATATTAAACCGATACCAAGTGCCAAATGCAGATAAAAACTGGCTTCAGCGTGCACATAAAAGGAAATGATTAAATCTTAATGTGTAAATCTGAATGAGCGTGTGATCCATCACATCATTATACAAAATGAAAGAATGCTAGCATCTTTTATCATGTTGGAAAATGATATATAAAAGATTATTGGGAACAGAAAAACCCCAAAATATCATTCTATATCATATCATATTTTGGCCTGAGTTTCCCTGTCCAAAAATTGGAACAATAGAAAATACCATTTCCATACGGTTGTTTTTGACCTGGGTTTATGACCATGATTTCAAAATTAGCATAAAAGTTAATTTTTAACGAGCTTAAATGTTATACTAATATGTGCAATTAAATTTGCTATGTGTCTTAAATAAACCACTGACATAATTTCTGCAAATTCAGCCTAATCAGTACAGAGACCCAAATATTTATGGCCTATATTTGGTTATAGAAAATATATATATTTTTTCTTATTAAATGTGTTTACCTGCTAACATTTGTTTTGTCAGTTATTAGATATACGCCAGCATACAAATGTACCAAAAGTCACAATAAAGTCATAGATTTTTCAAACTTTGATGCTCTCAAGCACACAGTATTGAACTGATTTTGGTTGCTTTGCTGGTCTGTGTATAGGAAGAGCTCAGTGATAACAGATGATACTGTCTCTTTCTTTCCGAGCTGTATTTCGCTAACTAACACACAAAGCTGAAGGTCACATGTCTGTGTTGTCACGATAAGACTGAAGCCCTGTGACAAGGTTGCAGCAAATTAAAGCAGCCAACAGCTCAATGGCTTCAGTATTTATTTGACTGTGGCCATAGACTGTGACATTTGAGAGTGCTTTACAAAGTGTGTTCTTGACGCTATTTTTAACCTGGAAGCTTACACATTTTTTTATTTAGAAAATAATAATTAAATAGTTCTTTTTTGCATTTATTTTGTTATCGTTGTTTATTTTAATTAGCAACAGGAAATTGTTGAAACACCTATGCACTAATTGGCTCGGTTCTAGATAATGAGATGTTACAGTGGAACATATTGATTTTTCTACATCGATTTTTCTACCTGTGCCCCCAGCGAGTAAGATGAATGGTATTGTTACATAAGTCTATTAAAACACCCTTTCAGTAATTTATGTAAAGCTGAAATAGCATAAAAAATATAGTCAGAAGATAAAATACATAAACTATAAATACAGTTCTATAAAACTGGCAAAAGCACATGAACCTAGATCACAGCATCATATTAATAAATACTATAATCATGTATATATTAAACTGAAATAAAACCAGACAGAGCTGTAACTTTGAATGCTCTATTCACAAAAAGCACTACAGTTTCACCATGTTGGTAGCATACATTTTATGCCACATGATTTATACTATGCATTATTGTGTTTATTTTATTTAATTATTTACAAGTTTTTGGTTTTGTAGGTTTTTGGCAAGACTGCATACTGACTACAGATTACAAAATATATGCTTTAAAAAGTTATTATTAATGTATTTTATCAGATTACTTAGATTTAGTAACTTAATCTAAATATTTTAAAATACTTGGAAATATTTAAGCTATAATTAGGTCCATAAATATTGAGACATCGACTCAATTCTAACATTTTTGACTCTATACACAAACACAATGGATTTGAAATGGATAAGATGTGCCTTTTATTGAGCTTTAATTTAAGGGTATTTACATCCAAGTCAGGTAAACAGTGTAGGAATTACAACAATGTGCATATGTGCCTCCCACTTGTTAAGGGACCAAAAGTAATTTGACCATTCGTCCTCTAAGCTGTTCCATGGCTAGGTCTGTGTTGTTTCCTAAATATACCAATAACAATGCGCAGATTTAAGGTCCAGAGTTCATTCCAAGTGTGCTATTTGTATTTGGAATCTGTTATTGTCAAAATGAGATTCAAAGAGCTATCAGTCAAGTCAAGCAAGCCATCATGAGGCTGAAAAAACATTCTTAAAAAGAAAGAACGCACCTGTGAGCTCAGCAAAACCAATAGACCCAGAAGACCACGGGAAACAACTGTGGTGGATGACCAGAAAACTATTTTTCTGGTAAAGAAAACACCCTTCACAACAGTTGGCCAGATCAAGAACACTTTCCAGGAGGTAGGTATATGTGTGTCAGAGTCAACAATCAGGAGAATACTTCACCAGAGTTAATACAGAGGGTTCACCACAAGATGTAAACTATTGGTGAGTCTCAAAAATAGGAACGCCAGATTAGAGTTTTAAAAAAGCTTTAACAGTTCTGGAACAACATCCTATTGATAGATGAGACCAAGATCAACTTGTACAAGAGTGATGGGAAGAGAAAAGTATGGAGATGAAAAGGAAACGCTCATGATCCTAAGCAGTGAAGCAGGGTGGTAGTAGTGGCATGTCATGGGCATGTATGGCTGTCAATGGAACTAGTTCTCTTGTGTTTATTGAGGATGTGACTGCTGACAAAAGCAGCAGGATGAATTCTGAAGTGTTTCAGGCAATATTTTCTGCTCATATTCAGCCTAATATTTCAGAATTCATTTGACGGCGCTTTGCAGTGCAGATGAAGAATGACCCAAAGCATACTGCAAAAGCAACCAAAGAGTTTTTGAAGGGAAAGGAGTGAAATGTTATGCAATGGCCAAGTCAATCACCTGACCTGAATCTGATTGAGCTTGCATTTCACTTGCTGTAGACAA